TATATACATATATAACTTAAAAATTGCTAGAAAAAGATTTTTTAAAAAAAAAAGATCCTAGTAATTTTCTTCATAATACTTAATTACTGTAATTAAATGGGAAATAAAAAGTTATATTTTATTACTGTAAGAATGATATTGTTCTTTTAAGATAAGGTAAATTTGTCAATTTACCCGAAAATAAGTATTGAAAATATTTCCAACAAAATCATCATTTTGTAAAAAAACATCGCTAAGACCAGTAGAGACATAACACCTAACAATACGAACATATGGAGATCCATTTAATGTATGTTGAACGGTAAATTGAATTGTTACCGAAATCTAAAATAATTTCTTTTTTAATTTAATTATCCATTTCATTGTTAAAAAATTGGCAGCTAAAAAAAAGTAAGATAAAAATTTAGAAATAAAAAAAAATGCACGATAAATTGTTTGCAAAAAATTTTTTGATAATATTTCAAAATCTATAATAATTAAATTTTATGGCTAATATAAATATAATTAATAATTTAACCTGATGGATACGTAAATATACAGTATTGTTGAGCTTAACAGGTAGTATTACTCCAATTTCACCATTAATATTTGCTCTTATTCTGAAATTTCATTTTTTTTTTTTGGTTTTCATTTATATAAAATGGTTGATCTCATGGCTATCTTTTTTATCAAAAATTATATTAAAAGAAAGAAAAAAAGACAAGCCTTATCGAGAATCCTAATATAAATATTCAATAATGTTTTCAATTTATTTAAATTCTTTTATTTTACACCAAACAATGATTGTTGCAATTTTTTTGCAATACAACTTTCAAAAGACTTTTTTTTTTGCAATACAACTATTGCTTTTTGAAATCTTTAAATTGTGAAATTAAAAAAGAGCAAAAAAGCACGGAAATATTAAAATTTCGCAGTACTTTAACGGATTATGTAAATGCTTTAAAATAGCACAGATTACCTTTACAATACTTACTCAAGATCGAGATTTCGAATGATGAGAATGAGACGATTAGGTGGTGAAGGATGAAGTGATACCAATTGTGGACATCGATATCGTGAAATGACCAAGTTTGAAATTGTGATACAACCATTAAACTGAAAATTGATAAATTGATAATGTTGTTTTTGATATCCTTTTTTTTTGAAAAAAATTCTCATTTTGACGTAATTCAAAATGTTACCTGTTGAAAACATTGCTTTAATGGTTGTAATTGAAAACGTCTAATTTCATTGTTAATAATTGGACCGGCTAGAAGGCTAGCATATAAAAAACCTTTCGAATTAATACGAAATTCCAATCCCGGTAAACCATGAATATCACTAAACAAGTGTAAAATGATATTTTTATCATTAACAGCATTACAAAGTAACACATTATTATTTCTGTTATTTTAATTTTATTAAATGAAAAAAAAAGAAAAATGATCATGAAATCATGCATCCATTAATGAAAATACATTAATTAATCATTGAACTAAAGATTATTAAATGAAGTTTTCTATAGTCTTATATATATGTAAACGTATTAATCATAATCGTATCATCTAATCAAGACAATAATTCAGCATAATTTAAAAATAATAAATATCAGTTGATATAGTTAGTTATTTTCTTGCTTTTTTAAATTCCTTTCCTGTTCAGTTTTTCATTTCTTTCAAATTTAAGAATTCGAGAAGGAATTCTTGAATTGTCACAAATCATTTGTTACATTTCACCATTAAATTAATCACTTTTTTTTGCTTTTCCGACCATTCGAATTAATTACATGAATCAAATATTATTAATAGTTCAAATATAACTGATAAAATGGATATAAAACAAAAATTTTTCAAATTAAAAACGAAGTCGAAAAGAAATTATTTTTCAAAATATAACACAAACTTTTAAAATGAAATTAAATTTTAAATAGAAAAAAAACAAAATAAAAACCATTGACGGTTGGTAAATGAAGAAAAAAGGCAAGGAAAAAGTGAAAAAAAAAATTTAAAACAATTTTAAAAAATTTAAAATCGGGAAATAATGAGATCTAAAGGAAATGAAATTTTTAAAATTTCAACTCACTGATATTCAAATAATTATTATTAGAATTAAAAGGAAATATCATTCTCTGCCAGTTCATTTATTCATTTTTTGCTTTTATTTTTTGTTTTCCTACAATAAAATTTTAAATTGTACTCAAATTTTTGAAATAATCAGATTCAGGAATAAAAAAACAAAAAACTAAAAAAATTATTTTATTTTATTTTTAAATTTTGTAATATTATCAAAGATGAAATTTTAAAAAAAAGAAGTGAAAAAATTACTTCAATGCATCAAATCTTGTTGACTGTAACCTTTTTGTTTTGTTAATTGTTGATGGTGCCGGTTGTAATTGCACATCACCATCCAAATATGCTATTTTTAAGCCAAAACAGCCGACAAATAGGAAGAAAATTAACTGAAAATTTGAATAGTTAAATTTTAAACTATAGATTTTTATTAATTAGCCATTTTAAATGTGTAACTTAAAATAATATAAAAATTTGACAAGGATAAATTTAACTATTATTATTTGAACAATTATGTAATTAGTATTCGATAAATATTGACATTGTATGCCTGACAATTAATATTATTGATCCATGATAATTGACAGATTATATCTATCATAGCTATAACTTTGTCGTAATTTTTAATACACATTATTTTGTCATATTTTCATTTAATCATGATAGCATTCTCGACAGCTATTTATCGTACTTCCAACTAAAAACAGTATTTTTTGCAGTCCAAAAGTTCAACACTATTTTCCATTAACAATTTTTCTGATATTACAAATTATTGTTTCATTTGAAATTTTAAAACCTACGCACTTTTTTCCATTGCATCTGTCGTTGAAATCTAATTGCTGTCCATTTTTTTCTAACAATATCTATTAGTAACCGTCTTTAAATTATCACGAATTAATTATATCAATTATAAATATTAGTAATTAACAAGCATCAATAGTATCAATTGTCAAAATTATGTGATACCAATAATTATCAAATACTAATTCCATTAATTATCGAATACGAAATATTAATAATCAAATTTCATATTATTTTAAATTATCCCTGCTCAAATTTCATATTATTTTAAATTGTATCGCTAAAAGCAGCTAAATTAATCATTTTTTTTACCTTTTTTTTTTCCGAATTAATAAATGATTATCTAATGAACGTTTCATGTCTATATTAAATTTTCTTCGTATTTTGTAGAATTACTGAAATTATCACAGAAATCTTTCATGTATAATATCAATTCTCTCAAAATCATTAACAGAAACTTTTGAAACTAATACTTTAAAAAGTGAAAAAACCATCCAATATTTTTAGAGATCTCCAAAAAATTTCATTACCGTAAAAATCCAAATGTATACGATACATGCATATTCTTGTATGTATGTGTATGCATGTGTGTGCACGTGTGTACGTGTGTATGTGTATACGTGTATGTACGTTTGTGTGCATATGTGTATATTTTTATATGTGTGTGCGTGTGTGGTGCGCAGATCAAATTTTGCAATTCGTTTATGGAATAAATATGTTTATCGTTCCCTCTTATCTTATCATTGTTTTGTCAACACATTTAACAGTTTCACACATTTACTACGAACTTCTATCGTTTCTATTATATACATATATATCCTGCAAGTAAATTCTTCCCATTCCTATCAATGCATTAAGAAATTATCTTAACTAACATTACTTTACACTATAATAATACAAATTTCTTTATCTAATTGGTAAAATCGCAAATTACGGAAATATTTTAAAATTAAAATTCATAATTTTTCATCATATTTTCTTGAATTTTTTAATTATTTACCTTATCAGTTGCATAAATTTAGAGCAATTTATAACATTTCGAATACATACAATTATCTTTTTCACTTCTCTTTCAATTATTTTTTCCACTTCAATTCAGTTAGTAATTTGAATTCAAAAATTTCATAAAACAAAAATGAAAAAAAAATAAAAAAAGTAATTATAATTTAAAAATTTCGCAAAAAAAGTGTTTGAATAATAAACTTATTTATTTCCACTTCAAAACATATTATACTCTTTTTAGCCATTAAAAATTTCATATAATATAAAATTAAGAATTGCATATAATAATTTTTTATTTTTTATTGCTTATTACATTTATTTGCTACATTTTTCATTTTTACATTATATCATTCATTCTCATTTTATCCATAATTTGAAATATTTTTTTCTTTAAATAATTGCTTACCATTATTATTTTCATCGTTTCATATCCTTTCAATTAGTATTTCATTGAATTGTTTCAATTTTTCGTCTTCCAATCATATTCTTTCATTCTGAATAACATTCACTTATCAGTCAATTCATTCCAATTTCTCCTTAAAAGTATCATTTTTTTTATTTCAAAATTTTATCCATTTCTGCTATCTTTTTTTTCACTTTATCGCATCCTCTATTTTTAGTTTTCTCTTTTTTTCACTACATTTAATTTAATGAAAAAAGAAATCTCATCCATTAATCAATTTATTTCTTCTATCTTCAGTGATAGTGATATACTTCTTATTATGCTAATAATTAACAACAACAGTTACAATAGTAATTATGACATTGTAGTCTATGTAAGGAATTCATCATCAAAATTAGAAAATTCATCCATCTTTCTTTTAATGCTTTACTTCAAATGTTTTTTTTTTGCAACAACAACTTTTTTTTCCCCTAAATATTTCGTCTTTTGAAGTTACATTCATTTATAGAACATCCAAATTTTTATAAATTTTACATTTTCTGTTCGCTAATCTGGTTCAATACGCCCATCCAATTAACTAATATTTAAAATTTTTCTTCAAATTTTTTTTCTCTTAGCTAATTATTTTTTCACAATTAGTGTACCGCATCCTTTTAATCTATAGAACTGTAATTGTTGCACGAACTACTATCAATAACAGTAATATTCCTTTCAAAATTTCTCCGCTTATAAATTAATTGCATTTTCGATTCATCCAAA